ACTTAAATAACCTAATAATTTTAAAACCCCTTGGCACCAATATCATCGGACCAACGTCGTCCTTTCTACTTAACGTTAATTAAAACGTCACATGTTTTAAACATGTTTAATTCGTTATTCAAATATTTTAAGTACACATGGCTGTATGGTAACGGTGGACGAATACAATATGAATGAGTTTTATCGTAAATATATACTGTTTTATCAATTTTACATCAATACTTCTAAATAATGAAATAATATTCATTTACTTATTACAGTATTACACACATCTCTATATTTATTTCCCACTGAATAATATTTAGAACCTTGAAAAAATATATCTAGATTTTATAGCTAACATCTAGGCTCCAAATTTTACATCTAGATCTTGAAAAAAACATCTAGATCTAGATATAAAATATCTAGAGTGGCAGTCCTACGCTCTACTCTCACCGCACTGTCAGCGCAAACTGGGAAATGACCAATCGCCTTAGTGAACAAACATCTGCGTTAGCACGCTTTTTATGCAAACAATATAAGGTATAACAATAAATCGTGTTTCAGGCCAATATGGTCTTGTGCATACATCCCGTCTTCAGTAATGATAATTCATCTACGCTTTTGTTGCTTTTACAAGACAAATAAACATACATACATTCATACAAGGTCAAAGCAGAGAGCGTTGTAAACATTCATGCAATAATCCGGCCCACCGAGGACTTCATTTTCCCACATCCGACCCGCCGACTAAAGAAGTTGCCCACCCCTGCCTCATAGTATACAGTGCACTGAAGTTTGTAATTGGAAGCAGATAATAAGAAACATAGCAAGTCCATGTGTCTGAAAAAAAATGACTGGCTAACTATTTTCATACCCGACGTGGACTGGTAACCGGACGCAAGGCCGTGGTTGGTTCGCCATATGATTAAGCCGTCTTATTGACTTTCCTTTCCCCCGGAATAGATATTTGAATCCTTGACTCGTAAAGAAAAAAACGATTCTGTCTATACATTCCAGATACCTAATGACCCTTTATAATACAGTGCTCTGAAGTTTATAATTTTAAGAACATCCAGCAAATACAAAAACTTTCTACGTCGTTATCAAACGAAATTAAACTGATAGCAAACCTAAGTATTCTATTCTATACAAGCTTCAATCAATCTCAAAGTTGGGCGCTCCAGAAGTATGTGTACTAATATGGAGGTAACTAATTGTGTTCGTCTATTTTACCTCAAGTTGTTTAACTTTCTGACGTTGTGAGATGGCCACTCTCCTATGTTATGTAGCATATAAAATGACCTTCAAAATAAGACCTTATCATACTAGCTTTTGTTATTCGTTAGCGCGCAATGCAGAGTATTATTGAATTTTTTTTTTTATTTTGTTCTGGTATCGTCAAGTAGGTAATGGAAAAATCTTCAAAACAAAACCCTAACCGACATTCTAAACCTAGGTCACGTGATTTTATATTCAAAAGGGGCACAAATGGTTCATTCATCTTAGATCAGTGGACTGAAACCTATGGGCAGCGGGTATATTCACTCGACCAACACAGACAGTCCCGAACTCGTAATAGAACTAAAATAAGAAAAATCGAAATAAAATTATTGCCGAATCCTTGCCTGGTATACATACTACAACAGTACCGAAAGTTGAATACACACTACGATTTACGTCACGTTCTATACTTTTTATTTAGGCGTCGTATGCTTGTCTGTCTCAAATGCATACTACGACGGCGATCACTAGTCCGTGGGATATTTAACAACTCGGTGCTATATCTCACACTCCTTTCCGTATCAATGCTGTTAAAGATTAAAAAAAGAGAGAAAGAAGTTTTTTACGTAGCGGTTTCCACAGTTTAATTTGCACAGAACCGATAGTGAATTATTGAAAAGTTTTTTGCTGTAACATATTTAACTACTACTGTCTGTATCTAGCCCTCCTGTATTAAAGGTTGCACACCTCTGGTCTAAACGATACGTCTGGATGATACAAGTGAAAAATCCTTAGGCAGAACCCTTCGTGATACGCAGCACATTCTATTAGTAATCAAAAATTCTTATCTTGATTCAAAGCCCCTCGGAAATTTTCCCTGAAATATATATCTCAGTTCAATTTTGATCAAAATAAGATTCCAATACAGCATTTATTGATCGCAGCACCTAGGGATGATTTTCCAGTCTACCAAGATGATCATACAATTTACCCAACCTACCGTGGTCTCAGTTTGGACATGACATCTTGCAAAAGTACTAGACAGTTGAATAATTACTTCGTTTTATTACATATGCGCGTAATCAGTAGGTTTAAGGTATATTTAAAATGTGCGTGCGAGTAATTCCAATGGACCTTTCCCCAACCTTTGACTCCCGAAAAAAATATGGCCGTGAGAATTCTTTAATAGGCACCTTTACAATCAAACTTAAACAATTTGTATCACAAGCATATATTGCTAAATTTACTTGACGTTCATGAGCTAGAAATTTTGTAGGATTATGCAATTTGAAAACAATCAATTGCCTATAGCTTTTGACCATCACTTTGTCACACTTAGTTTAGTACATGGACATAACACTCGTTCCTCAACATAGAGTAATTTCTTTGTACCTCGCTTCTCTTTAACAAAACCCCGAAATTCGTTGAAATGCAAAGGTGTTTTATTTGGAATAATCTACCCCAAGACCCAACTGAGGCATCTCATGCGACTTTCCAACCTAAAAACATAGAAAGCTCCTGATCTCATCTTACCAGTCAAGTTGAATTTCTAAGTCGCTCTTTTAACATTCCTCGGGTGCAGTGGTTCTCAGCCTTTTATGGCTCGTGGTCCTACTTTCTAAGAATTTTAGCACTCATGGCCCCTGTTTATCATTCCAGTGGTATCTATAGTGATGTTAATTTGATTGATAGATTCCAAATCTCATTTTGTTCAAACAATTCATGCTCAGAAAAAGGAAAACACCCCGTCAAATAACCTTACCAATCAATGAAACTAGGAAGAACGGAGTTGTTTTTTGGGGTAAAGGGAAACGTTGGATCAATTTTGCGTCCGGCATGGTGGGCCCCCCTCCCACTCCATGTGGCCCTTTGGTGGGCCAAGAGCCCCGGTTGGGAACCAGTGTTTATCTGGATAATACTCGACTTGATCCACAGCCCTCAAATTAAATAGTCCTGTCTATTTTTTGTTGGATCCTTATTGTACTTTATATAATGCAAGTGGTACATTGGAATTAATAAATATACTTATTTTTGTTGTATTCTTGTTGTCGTGTTTCCACGAAAATAAGACTGGGTCTTATTTTATTTTTCGTTTGAAAAAAAAAACACTGGGGGTTATTTTGGGGGGAAGTCTTTTATTTTCAGTTATACAAAATCAAATTACAAAGTAAAAATTACGATATTTTCAAATATACAAAATACGAAAACCTTTATTCATTTACTCATAAACAACACATTTTTATTTGAAATAACTGCTAAACATAGATTATTATCAATCATTTAAAGCGTGTAGGAAAGATTTCTTGCTATCAACTAGTTTGAAAAAATATTCGCACCAACGACTAGGTCTTATCCCAGGGGATAACTTTTATTAAAATCATTTTTAAAAATTTACGCTAGGTCTTATTTTCAGGCTAGTTCTTTTTTATGCGTGGTGGGGAGGGGTGTTGCACATTGATTCACCTCCAATCCATACTCCATATATATCTGTGGAAAGGGCAGTCACATTCGAGTGCCATTGTCCGCAATAACCTCGCGCTACATTAGGGGTATGTGCAACTTGCGGACCAAATGAGGCCCTCAGTGGAAACTTATGTTACGGGGCCCGCGGAGAAGTGTCAATTTTGAATGATGTGCGTCTGCGAAAAAAGTTTTCATTTTAATTTAACTTGGTACGTGCGAGTAATGCCAATCCCTTTGCGTTGCGAAGCCTATACCTGAGTCTAATTTATCTATTCCTATGGCTTTACAATGTCTTAACAGCTATATTTCGTGCAAACAACGCTTGTCATAGAAACAATAACCAACATTTTTGTGCCTGCAACTACTAGATAGCCCAGGGTGGTACGAACCCAGAACGCAGGAAAGATGATTTCGTTGTTTTGATAACAATAGAGTCACGGCTGAGAACCCCTTTTCCACTATATCAGAGATCGAAAATGAAATGATTTTGAGGGTTCTACCTCCTCAATAATCGCCGGGTATTTGCCTGCACCAAAATACATCATAACGATCTTCAGTAAAATTCATTTTCGATTCCTCATCATGTACCATGGCCTCCAGTTACCAGTCCATAGAATTAATCAGCTATTTATTTGTTTCAGATTCATGGACTTAATAGTGGTGGAAGCCGTAACCAATCATCAGCTACGACAGGGGTCGGAAACCTTTTGTCGCTCGCGGGCCAAAATTAAGGGTTGTAAGTCTTGGCGGGTCGCGCATATTTTTGAAAGTTGAAAACGAAACAGCGCGCAAAAACTGCGACAATTCATGAACTCAGCTCAGTCGTCCTATTAAAACAAAAAAAATTAAAAATGACGTCTAATGTGACACTGTCTTTACTCTTGTCGCTATATCACGCTCGATAGCTTTTCGACATCGGCGGCACACTGAATGAAGCTAAGATTGGAACATTTTCTAAATGGAAATCACTAGTCCTAGTTCTTTTCTTTTTGTTCTTTGTAATGTTCATTTTTGAAAATAATTGTCCGCACACGTATGTACTTCCAAACATCGAAATGGATTTTTTCGCATGGTTTGTCAAATTTTAGAGAGATTTTCTTTAAGAAGATACATTTTTATAAGCAGTAATGCATCTCTCGAATAGAATCTGAATTTTATTTCCTCATGGAATAATTAACGAAACATGAACGATTGAAGCAAAACTGAGGGCGCTCCAAACGTGTGTGTACCAATATGGAAGTCACTAATTTTGTTCGCTTACTTTACATCAGGTTGTGTAAAGGGCGGCCGCGACACAAGGGCGGCCGCGACAATTTTTAGAAGGGGCGTGAAGCTACTTTAAAAAAAAAATATTTGTTATATTTGGTCTTGCCCGCCTTATGTTGGATATTTACATGTCTTCATTATGTACTCATATTTCAACTTTTTTTTGAATAAAACATGCTTTCGCCTTATTATCTGTTATTTGTAGCTTACTGTTAGCTAGTTATTTTTGAGGTGGAACGCGAGACTTGACAAATTTAACAGGCTTAAACAATTTGAGAACCGCTGGTTTAGAGTATTCTTCCTAACACTGGAGTTTAGTAGTTAGAAATAACAATGGGACAGGCTTAGTAAAGAAGTAATATCAAAACGAACTGTTATTAAAATGGTTTGAAACTTGAAGAAATATCAGGATATTGGCCGGGTCTTTGATGCAGCGATAAAGTACAAAACTGTCTGTATAACTTTCGTTTATTTGCGAGATGCAAACATTTTTTTCACGGTAGCACTCTATGTACAATCAATATGATTCGTATAATACATTATTGACGGTTTCAGGAAGCTTCTTCGAAGTTGCAGTACCGTTGGTCCTGGATTCGATTGCGAATGTTGTATTCGTGTATTCTGCCACTCTGTTAGTCGTGAATTTTGTCTCGTGAACACGATGGCTTCTGACAAACCTGTTAAGATCAATTACACCTTTAATATCGTAGGATAAATCAGCTACATTACAAAATAATTAATGAAGGCCGCCTTTATGCGATATTCTGTACGATTGTTTCACTACGGTATAATTCTTTTAACGTTTGGTTGTTGGAGTTTTGCTAGCATTGTGGCGACCATAGTATACATTCGGCTTTCGTAACCATGTATTTGAGCATTGCACTCGGCAAAATGCATATGACATTCGGTACCATAATTTTAACAACTGGTTTGAATACTGTTTTGCTATCATTGCGGTTGCCATTTTTGCGCTCAGCTGCATGCAGCGCCATGAATTGATATATACTATTTAGCTGGGATGTTGCAGTCCATGATAGCGGCGTTTTTTTCCAAAAACTCACGACTCTAGTACCAAACTCCGAGTTTGATAACGAAAATTTTGGCGCATGCAAACCTTCTCAAGTACAATTTTAAGAACGCTTTTTAAGTTTATTTTGAAAACATCTTTTCCCTATTGAAAGTCTGAACTTTTGACTGCAGAGAAATCAGAATTCCGACTACGACTCTGGAGGTTTGAAAATACGACTCTAGTAAGAAAAGGCCAAACTCAGACTTCCCGGCCCTCGATACAAAAAGAAAAAATTACAATTAAATTTAAAATCAACTTCACACTTTTCGACAAAATGAACCACCTTTCCGACTGCACAATAGACATTTTCTCTCGCTTGAGGAGATATCCGTCAATACGCTACCCAATATTGGTCAAACGTTTAAAATAACCAATATTTCGAATTATTTCATTGCCTACCGATACGCAGAGAGTAACTTCGCTCAAAGACGTTAGAGTTTAAAGAGTTAAATAAAATGTTAAAAACGCTTTTTAAGTTTTTTTTTTTCCGAAAACTTCTTATCGCCCTTGAAAGTCTTAAATTCCAACTTTCGACTCTGGGGAGTTTGAAAATACGACTCAGACTTCACGGCGAAACGAGTAGTCATGCGCGGGGGCTCCCGAAGTATGCGAACCAAGATGGCGGACATCGGAATGTAATATGTGTACTAGGTTAGGGTTGGGCCATAATTTTAGGTATAAATACTACGGAAGGCTCTTGGCTAGTCTTCGAACTGATAATAGGACTAAAATAAGGAAAATTGAAAAAAAATTATCGCCTAACCCTAACCTGTTACCCATGTTACGTTCCGATGTCCGCCATCTTGGTTCGCATACTTCAGGAGCACCCATGCGCGGGTGTTAGGACAGTAGCCGTACCAGTTATTACAGAATGCTTACTTATATATATACATACTTACTTGAAATATCCAACGATTAAAATGATTCCTGCTAGTATTATCAGGATACTTAATGCAATGATGACGATGACAAACGGAAAGAACTGCGTGGTTGAATTTTCCTCAAATTGTGCATCGCTAGTATCAGCAACACCAGTCCGAATTTTCCTCTTGTCTGTTATTGAAATATAAAAGAATGGATTTATTTCAGGCCTTTATTATATAACGCTTATTTGTTACCTCCGATTAAGGTCCTGTTGTTGTGTATTGAATTTACATATATTTTATGTTTCCACTAGTTGTTTTCTATTGCATCATTTTCTAAAACCTCGTGTGACATTAGTAAATTGATACTCTGTTCTAAGTTCGCTTGCTAAGCGGCGTTATTGTTTGTTTTCATTAAACTGACGTTTCCATCAAATTGGATTCATGTGTAGTTCGTTAGTTAGTGTCAGGGACACAACATCTGTACCGAGTACCGATGTTGTACCGATTGATATGTCACAAAATGTGACAAGCTACCAATTTTTGAAGCAACCGAATCTTCAAGTTCGGCTACCCAATTTATCAACACTGTTGAGATGGTGGATTTTGACCAGAGTTGTGCAATCTGCAATACCAAGAAAGCTAAATCTAACGATTTAACTCTGAACTATCGCAATGTTTTTTTTATGTTTACAATATGCGTTCAATTTTGTTGATATTTATAACATCATTGTATTAATTTTTATCGAATGCCATTCTGAGGCTTTTGGTGCTTGCCAATCTGCAAAACTTCATTAGGAAATTAACTATAAACAAAAATACAGTACAGCAAATAGGCATAGATAATCAAGAAGACACACTGAGCGATGATATTTATCCAACAACAACAGTCCATATTTTCGATATATTTTTCCTCAAATTTACTTGGTTACTACGGGACCCAGTATTCAACCCAAAATTTTACTCTTTTATTTTGATTAAGTAATGAAAAACTTTGACATATCGCTTGCTTACAATGTACCTGAAGTTATTGAGTTTCCAAACAAAGTAGTTGTTTGTTCATCAATAGTGAAAGAAGGCGAGAAAGTGATCGTTTTCAATTCGGTATCAATTCGTAACCTCGATGTAAATTTTCTGATCGTCTGCGGCGTTGTTTTCACTGCTGACATAGTTCGCAATGTTGTCCTAGTCGATATAGACGTCGTTGGTGTTGTAGTTGTAGTTTTCCGACTGTGAATTGGCCTTAGACTGCTGAAGGGTTGAAATTCTGGAGGAGGTGTGTCAGGTAGACGGGATGCAGAATCCGGTGGTATTCTATTAGAGGTTACTTGAAATAAAAACATCTATTTTAGTTAAAAGTGGAGAAAAAGCTTTGTATATATCCGCGAAATACTTGTTGGTGATAGGTATAGGGGACCATGCCTAACAAGAAGATTGAAATTTAGGGTTTTCCTAACATCTTGTTGCCTCTCTACTTATGATCGGCTTCTTGAAAAAAAAAGCTTAGAGCGATGGCGTGACGCATTGACAGAATACATGGTGACTCACTCTGGGCATAGTATATGAAGGAGTCTTTTTTCAGATCAGCTCGTCGTCGAAGGATAATTTATGTGGCCATTTTACACCAGTCTCGTAAATATGCTGCCTAATGTTAAAAACGTCCAAGAAATGGGAATGTTTTCTTATTGGAAATATGTAGTTTCCAATAAACGCAATACTTAGTATATACGATTCACAATATATAACTTATATTATAGCTCTAATTAAATTTTCTCAATATAATCATAAATAATTATGACTCTGAAAAAATTTGGCCCTGGCTCAACTATTCGAGAAACGTAATATTCTTCACCAACCTGTATTTCCACATTGTTCGTACTTATACACCATTTTAAATGACTTCTCAACATTTTTAGAGGCAATGATTTCTATTTTAGTAGGCATTTCAGCTACTTCATAAGTTTTGCAATTGCCTAGATTCGGATTTTCATTTTGGCATTTTATTTGATTGCTTGGCTTATAGTAACGACAAGACTTTTCACAGGTTGCCTCTCCGTCTGAAACGTAAAGTTTACTTGTATGTATAGTAATTTCAATTCCAGTTATTAATGCCAATGCGGAACTGCAAACCACGGTTCGGATATGATTCCATAAACATCGAGAGAGAGAGAGAGGAAAGCCGAAGGGACGCGTCAATCACATGGCAAACCAGTCGCTGTTGTCCGGTTGCCAGTCCTTGCCGGGTATTGAAATAGTGAACCAATTAATTGTTTCAGATGCTCCATATGAGCAAGCTATAGTTATGGTTGTCATTGCATGAAGAAAACTATTAAAGGAAATTTCTGAGATAAGTCCATTCGCCTCTCCGCACCAATTGAAACAGAGATTCAGACCTTTCAATCCTAAGTGAGAAATTTACACTTTTGTTCTAGAACACGCGGTAGAAAACTATTCTTCGGTTAACATTTCACTGGTTTTATCCGCATTATGCAAGACAAATCTACAAACAAAAATGTAGTCAAACCAGTTTTTGTAGTTTTGAATATGCTGAAAACGCAAAAACCTTCTAACTCGAACTTTGTATATTGAACCATTCCTAAAAGAAGTGCAGTATTATTCATACTTAATTTACGCTATTGTAATCTGCTCGGTCATTTCTGAGAAATTTACATTTTTAGGTGCAATGGCATAGTGCTAAGAGCGCTTGCAGTTGTTCGAACTTTTTGGGGTTTTGCTAGCCGGCAAGAATAGTAATCATTCTAGGGGCTCGAATAAGTGTTTTGTTATTGTCGAGATACCTTACTGAAGATGTAAGAAACTGCTTTTAAATCTCAGAAAAATGGGCGTTCTACCTTTCCCACCAGGTAAAATGATATTTCCAGTACAATCCAAATTTGAATCTTCCATCGTAATTTCAATAATTTGCAACGTTAAGATGTAGCCGTTGTTGTAGTTCATGGGCAGCAGCCATGTGCAATAATCTGATTTGGAGGAGCCACTGTAGGATATCTCTCCTTCTATACCTCTCAGCTGTTGTGGAGTTATTGAGTAACAATATTCTCCTCTCACACCTAAAAAATATATGCACCGTGATATCATTCCAACAAATTTACTTGAATTTAAAAATAATTAAAATTTGAAGTGTTTTTGTCAAAGAATTTAAATTTAAATTTTGAGACTTCAATAAATCAACAATATCAATTCCAGCATTGGGATATTTTGAACATCAGCGCCCAAGCCTACCATGCGTAATCATTATCAGCTTTGAGCAATCAACGCCATATTTATAAGTATCACACGATAGCAGACTTTGCTTTATTAGTCAACAGACATTCGAAACTATAGCTTAATTTAACAACAAGAAAATAAACGTAACGAACATTTGCAATTCTCACCTGAAGAATAAATGACCAGGAACAAAATCAATGTTGGTAAGCTCATATTTCTTAGAATTTAATAGAAAGTTTCCAAGAATAATGACCTATCTTCGTGTTGATGTCTTCAATTAAACCCAGTTTCGATAGCAAATTCCGGCAGTGTTTTTTTACTAATGCGAGGTTACGTGTAATTCAGATTGAGTATTTCGATATCTAGAATATAAAACTAACTTTAGGTTCACGTCTTGGTGATATAGGAATAATACGTAACAAACCTACGTGGACGCTGTATAAGGAAATGCAGAAATCTCGAAATCGCCCTTATTTGAAATCATTTTAACATCAGAGATTGATTAAGCCAGCGTTTCCCAATCGGTGAGGAATTTATCCTTATTTGGAAATTCTGTCATTCTTGGGGATGAATTGTGTGCTGTGGTACAACTACTACCATTCTTTATTTCTCTATAATTATAACTACTATTAGGCTTATTTATACACACATGAACTACTTTAACTGCACAAAAGTACGATCTGCGTACAATACTTGCTAAGATTTTGTTATAATTTAGGTAGTTATCATGTAAATTGAGGGATGAATAAAAAGTTCCAAAATAAGATAAATGAGCAATTTAACAAGAAAAGCTTAGTAACCACTGAATTAATCTTTCTCACCTAATTTAAATGTCTTTTACTAAATATTTTTAAAAATAACTATAAATATATTGAGAAATAAACATGTTTGTGAAGTTTTCGACTATTACTTCATCAAAAGATATAAATCTCCAAATGATATTAAAAGGATTTAGAATGATTTCAGATGAGCTCTAATTTTAAAATTTGAGTGAAATATGCGATTCAACGCAGATCAGGATTCGATTACTGAATGAGACTGAGTCACACATGCTTCTCGTCTAATCTATGTTCCTTCCAAAAACTACCTGTTATTATTCTCATGAATTCTATCATCGCCTTTGTCTGGCTGTTTTGTTATTCTGTCTTTTATTGATGAACTTGGGATTCGCTTACAAGGTTTATACATATCTATAACTTTATCAAAATTGAATTCAGGATTTTGCCTTGTAATGTAGTTACAAGTTACATAGACCAAATAGGAGCAATTTGTTTTTCATCTTTTTGTGGTATGAGGTTCGAATATACTATACACAAAGGAAAACTAAAATAGGTGACTCTGCTCGATAACCATCCCTTCACACTGAAATGCATTTTCTTTCTTAATTATGTTTATCCAATGTGTAATTTTGGCATGTGATAAAATAAACTACTGCCTGACTGAATATCATCCCCACCCTGTAGTATGGTTGTGACTACAATTGCACTAATAAACCATATGGGCTCGAATGCTTTTGCTTCCGTTTACCGATTACGTTATCAAATAGTAAAGCCTAATATATCGTGATTCGTGACGTGATGAATAATTACAAAATGGCTGTCTGATACTTAGGAGAATATAATTCTTAACTGCGTTTATCGATTGCTTCTGAATATATATATACAGGGTGGCCCAAAAGTAGGTATAAAGTTATTAACCTATTTTTTATGCTTTGAAGCTACTTGCAGTTCACTTTATGTTACTTGCTAAGTACCACAAAAATTGCTTATTTTTTTAGATAATAAATCTAGTGTGAATTTCTCATTAGTTTTCTAGCTGCTTGGAAGGTAACACATTTTGTAAAGCTTTATTTTATTTGAAGGTTAATGGCGAATAATTTAAATGAAGAGCAAAGAAAATGGATACTGTATTAAAGAAATGAAGATGAAGAAAATAAGAAGCATTGAATGGTCACCACGCTCACCTGATCTGACACAAATGGATTTCTTTTTTTGGGGTGTTGTAAAGAATAAGGTGTATGAAAAGAATCCCAAAACAATAAATGAATTAAAAGATTACATTCATGACGCATTCAGAGAAATTGATAAAGACAGGTGTGTGTTTTGGACAGGTGTGAAGAATTTTGCAATGTTGGAGGAGGACATTTTGAGCACTTAGAGATTAAACAGTTTCTGTCTACGATATAGCTAGCATTCTTGAACTTTAAAAGTGCCTAAATGAGAACTACAAACCTACTTTTGGACCTAAACCCCACTTTTAATTACTGTTTACCTACTTTTGGGCCACCATATATATATAGGACAAGTGCGCCAGTGATAGCAACAAAAATCCCAGATGGTTAAATTAAAGGCATAGCCGTGCGATGCATCAGATGGAGTAAATGTTCTGTTATGCAATGACGCTATAGCTGTAATTTCGGTGTACACTCACGTTAGCGAATGCCCATACTTGTTTCGTACTTACAGTTTTCGTTATTTTCATTTTCAGATCACGTAATTCCGATGACTGATGAGATTAGAGTTTCGCTAATAATAACCGATTATTAAGTATGGCATGAACTATTGTTTCCGAAATGAATCAAATTCAACATCAACTACAAGTTTGCACTGCCATTTCATTAGTAGGCAACGAAACATTAGACATTTTAGAACAGGGGTGGGCAAGGTTTTTAAATCGCGGGCCAAAAATTTGGCCCACCTAGACTGGCGAGCCATGTAAGTGTGACGTAAAAAGTTAGCTTTTATGAACAATATTACAAAAGCAAAAGTGGAAAAAAATTAGCATCGTGCCAAAACCAACATTAATCGCAATCTCAACTAATTCCTTGAGCTATTTTTTAGCTAAAACATTGAAATTTGGTTTGGTTGTGGCAGAGTCAGGCGAACCAGATTGAATCACCAAACGAGCTAGATTTGGCCCTCGGGCCGTAGTTTGCCCATGTCAATTTTTAGAAGTATGGAACAAGGGCATTGGACTCAGATCACCAGTGAATTTACTTGAATTTTATGTCATATATGTATTTTTTAAATAATCACGTAAGATGGCGTCAAGACCATTTTGTAGAGCGGAAATGATTCAGAGAAGAACGTTTGCAGGGAGTTAGGTGTTGGGTAGATTGTGGGCCCATCTTGCTAACCTTGTGAAAGCATGTTCACAGTTTTGAATACCCTGGGTGATAATCATGGACGAACAGTAATCGCCGGTTTTTTACGGCCTTCTTCGACACCATATACATGCAGGTGTAACAAACAAAATTGATCAATGGAATGTTAACCGTGTAAACGCGTGAGAGGTCGCGGTTCGCCACCGAGCGAGTCGTCCTCGTCGGATCCCCAGGACTCCGCGGGAGAAACCTAGGGGCTCCTTGAAATATTCTGATACTGATTTGACTCATTTTGTAACTGTCTAAGAAAGCAATAAATACATCCGAGTCATTACATAAAGTAATTTTATTTACTCAAGAACATTAATCGATAAGGAGCAATATGTTTTTTTGTGTGTTTATTCGTATAAATTTATTGTGGGAATAGTCAACCTCATCATGGGCTCCATAACACCCAAAGTTTGAGAACTGCCGATCTGGAGCATCAGGTGTCAAGTGCTGAGAGTTATTGGAAGTTTGAGGAAAGAATCTAAGTTAAAAATTCATTTATTCTCAACAATTGGCTCAGCAATTTCATTGCTTCGTTTATGTACTCGTAGCCGTATCATCTTTTTTTTTACATCGCCAAGCAACGAGCCAAGAACGACTTTACACTACGCAAGCCTTGTTTGTTTGAGATACTCCTAATTGCAGCAGCAACGTGTTATACTCACTCACGGGTGCTCCCGAAGTATTCGTACCAAGATGGCGCACAATCTGAACATAGTATGTGTACCAGGTGAGGGTTGTTCAGTTACCTTTAACGTTCATTCGAAATGTATTTAAAAACTGGTATTTCTGTAAAAATGTGCTTTTTGATTGGAAAATGTCAATTTTTGACCAACCTATATGGTACAACAAAAGTATTTCTTATGCCAGAAAACAATTTTTTATCAAGTCTTGGTATGGACATGGTATAAAAGCAGTAAGACACTTATCAAATGCGGGTATTCTGTTTACTTATAGAGAGTTGACTGAAAAATATGACATGCAATATAGTGATGTAGAGTATGTAAATTATTATCGCATCACTGGAGTTTTACCTGACGATTGGTTATGCAATATTGGAAACTGTATTGATTTTAGTGTATTAAGTGACCCTGAAGAGAATGTATCTCACTTTATTTCTGAAACATTCGAATCAGAAAAAGTAAATAAAAGTATCTATGAAAGGTTGAACCTGATCAAATTTATATCCCCTGATAAATCAAGAAAAAAATGGGCAGATCTTATTATTTTAGAGAGTGATTTTAATTGGAATAAATTGTATATGGATATCTTTTATTGTACTATTGAAACCAAATTGCAATCTTTTCATGTAAAAATGTTCCATGGTGCCATAGTACTAAACGATAGATTGTACAAATTTAAACTTGTTCCATCAGAGTCATGTGAATTCTGTCATTCCAATGTTGAAACTATCAGCCACCTTTTCTATGATTGTATAGTTGTTCAACAGTTTTGGGAAACTCTAAACATGTGGATATACTCAAAAACAGAGATTAATTTTAACTTTTTGAAGAGAGACTGCATGTTGGGATATGTTTGTAATTTTTATAACAAATTGTGTAACTGTATACTTCTTGCTGCCCGGTTTTATCTATATCGTTGTAAGATAGAGAAAAAGAAACCGCTTTTTAATGTTTTTACCTCATATCTGTATGAAGTGAGGGAAATTGAACGGATTATTGCATATAAAAATGGCAAAATAAAGAAACATGATCAAAAATGGAAAATTTTATGATACAATTACTGATTATCTTATATGATGAATTGTGTATTGTTCATGATTAGTGATTAATAATGTTGTAGATGTACCGATCAACTATGTTTTATATATTAATAAATATATACAAAAAAAAAAAAAAGGTTGTTCAGGTTGTGCGTCATCTTGGTATGAATACTTCCGGAGCGCCCACTTACGCATGTAATATGTATTTAACGCTGTAACAAACGCTCAAGAATTGTAAAACCCCACACAAGTGGAAATGACTCGTGATAATCATAACATGAATAATCGCGGAAAACAACAACTTTATGTCTGTAAACAAGGTTCTAGACCCAAAAAGCCACTTGGTTACCGAACTATGTAAACCGTTTATATATGCGGCTAGTGCCTCAGTATCGCAAACCCCCCATGATTTCGCGAATGTATGAATGGAGGAGTTCGATCATCCCCGCTTCAAAAACAATCAGT